AGCCAAAAGAAAAACGCACGGTAGTACTTTTTGTCCCTCCACCCATCTAGAAAGATGAAAAGTAACCATTCCAAAAAAGAAAAGAAAAGTATGCATTAAATTTCTATTAAATTTTTTTTACCCATTTTCTTTTTTGACACTTTTCAAACTCCTAGATATTTTTTTTTTTTTTTTTTTTGCATCTTAGACCTAAGTTAACTCAAAAAAAAAAAAAAAAATTGATTTGCATTAATCTAATAAAAATATTATTCTTGTTCTATGAATCCAATGAATTAAAAACAAACTTCTATTTTTAAGAAATGAATCGATTTTAATTTTAATAATACTAATAAGTAGTTCAACATTAGACACATCTATTATTTTATGTGAGTGAAGAATGACATTATCATGATGTCATTCAAAATCCAATGAAGTGAAAGTAAATTTCTAATCTCAAAAGATGAAACTACTTTATCACTAGGTTTTAATTTTAATTTTAACCATTGTTAAATTTATTTTAAAAAAAATATTGAAGTGCGAGGATTCATAGGTTAATTATTAGTATGAATATAATCTAATATTAATGGACGTTTAACAATAATTTTGTCGGGATTGTGAAAAAATAGGCTTTTGAAGTATAAAAAATGAAAAATGGTAGGCTTGTGGTTACATCTATTGAAATTTAAAATGTTAGAGTCCAGTTTGGAGCAAGCTTAAATGGCACTGTACTTTTGAAGTTTGGCATTTCTTTATTAGAGTCCCAAAGAAAAATAATCAATTTCTTAATTCGCAATTAAGGATATTGAGATGCATGCGCACACGTTTTCTTTTTCTTTTATGTGCCATCACACTTAATTAGTTTAATTTTTTAACCATCACGTACTAGCAAAGACTTTTAACAAGTGGTTTAATTCTCTTCCCCTTTAACCATCACTAACAAATTAAGACTTTAACAAATGATTTAATTAATTCTCTAACCCTTTAATATGGAAGGGTTGAGTAAAGTTTAGTTGAAAAATAGTGGATGTTTCTAGAGCTTATGATGAAACTGATTGAGGCTATAAAAAAAACTCTTACAATTAGGATGTTCAGTAACAAAAATTTTCTCATAATATAGAGGTTCAAATAATTTTCTCATATATAAAGAGTTTTTTTTGACTTCAGGCAGGGAAGGATTCATAAATTTTTTTCAGAGGGAACACATTGTAGTATAGTACATCATATATAACACAAATTTACTAAGTCAATATTTACGAATATATATATATATATATATATAGGAAGAGAGATATATTTTTGAAATGTAATTAATTTACAGATATAAAATATAAGGATTAAAAGATTAAGGAAATAATTTAGGATAAAAAAATAGAAAACTTATATAGAATTTTATGAGAGAATGAGAAAATTGAGGGAGAATACTTTCCATATTTTCATAAAAATATATATAGAATATAAGATAGGGAGAAAATTCGACCCTAGGCCTTAACTCCATCTGTCCTTAACTGGTCATAATGAAGTAACGTGCTCCCAAAACTTATTTCAACGGCTGATTTTAAGCAATAATGAGGCTGAGTGAGAGAGGAAAAAAACAAAGTGGAGACAAAAGATAAAGTTGTGGGAGTATTTATATATTTATAGAAGATTTTTCTTGGTAAAAATAAGAATTGTTAAAATTTAAGTGGGACACATATTTTTACTGAGCATCACATGGGTCCATCCTTAATTACAATTACGCTATATAATTTAAAGAGTCCAACCGTCTTAATAATTATATAATTTTGAAAGGATTGATTTCGAGCCGATCACTATTGAACATTATAGTAATTGTGCCGAAAATGCGTAAATTATTTTTAATTGCCTCCTTCCTCTCATATTTAACTGGAATTGACTAAAACCAATAGCCCCGAAACCATCTAAAAATATCTCCATATGGTGATTCCTAACCCCTACACCTCTAGAAACTCAATATTAATTGCAATTACGTGTAGCATAGTACCATTAGACTCTTTGACTACCTTTTGCATATTTGTCTGTCGTCTTCTAGAGGACTGAAAATACCATCTTCCTTTCTTTTGCTTCCTCTTTATTTAATCCATATGTAAAGGTCTTATTCTAGAAGTTGTCCCCATCAATCAAACGATCCAAACCATCAGTAAACATGCAACCTCTCTCTCTACATCCTTATATATATACACACATAAATGTCTGCTAAATTTACAAGTCACCAAATAACCTCTCTACTTGTTGCTATCCATTTCGATCCATTTGATATAGCGTTCTTATATATGCAAGCTCCAATGGAACACAACCCTAACCCTAACCCCAATTACATTCCAGACTCTGATGAAGCAGAAGAGAGACTCTCTTTTTGTGATCTTCCCATGTACAGCGACGTCGCTGATTGGGAAAATCTCTGTACACAAGATCAAACATCATATTCATCATCTGCGCAAGACTACTTCGAGTTCTTCAGCGACGAATGGAATACCACTACTGATGCTGCTACTACTTATCCGCCTCGAAACATCATTTTTTGTGGGAAGCTGATTCCTTACAAAGAATCGGTATCTTGTGAGAAGAGTCGACATGAGCTTCAAAACAATAAGCAACAAAAGCACGAAAAGCGAGGGCTCTTCCGTTGGAACTTGAGCTCCTTCACCAAACCTAAGACCATGAAATCCGGTAAGAGTGACGACAAGTGTGGCTTTAAGGTTCAAAAAGTGAAGCTAGTGACTTCGCCGTCCAAGTCTAGGTGGTACTTGTTCATGTTTGGGTTGGCTAGGTATCCGACGGAGATGGAATTGAAAGATATGAAAAGGCGGCGGAACCGGCTAGCTGGGCCGACGTTGTTCAGGTCAGATGGCGGCGGTGATAAGAGCGGAGGGAAGGGGTGGTGGGGGTTGGTTCGGGCTTTGGGTTGTGGCAGCGGTGGTCAGTACACAGATGCCGTCGTTAAGGCGTCGCTTGGTGGCAAATTGTGAGATTTGATTGCTTTGGTCCTCGCCCGCGTTTTTTGAGCGCGCCGGGATTGAAGGACAACGTTGATGTTGCCAAGCCCACTCGCATTTTTGATATCGTGTTTGGAACGCGCTCCTCATTGGCCTGGTTTAGTTAGAATGTGTGGATAATGTGTATTGATAAGACTATAGATGTGGACATGGGTTGTTATTGCAAAATGTCATTGTGATTAGAAATAATATACACCTTAGATAAATTTTATGTATGTACACGAAGGACTTGAACTTTGCAAATTTTTTTTAAGAAAATTGCAAAGACAATTAGAATGAAAAAAATCGCGTACTTAATTTATGCCGTAAATTAACAAATTAAGGACGAGTGCACGAGGGAAAATGAAAACCTTGAAATATTAGACCGGTAAAAATACCAAAAAAAAAAAAAATTCTCTTCAACTCCTCAACCATAAGGAAGTTAGAAGAAAATTGCAGTTTTTGCATGTAATTGATTTCTTCCCATTTATTTCTGTGATATGATGGTTTAGGTTCAATGCAAGAAGATTAAATTGATAATATTATAAAATAAAGTAAAAAAAACAAACTAACAAATAATACATTGACTCTTTAAGTGTGACATTTATTTTGAGATAGATAAAAATACAAAGGTGCACACTAATTTTGATATGCAAAGAGTATATGGAACGACAAAAATGGTGAATGTTCAGAAGATGTTTTCTTAATCATAATACCAAAGTCTTCAGGGTATAGCGGCGTTGGCAGAAATTCGAGAAGTAAGTCTTTTAAGTCTCGTTTTCGAATCGCACTCCTGACAATGATGCGTGTGTTGTAGAACAAATACACGTGCTCTAAGAAATAATAATAACAATAATAATAATACCACCAACAACAATAGTTATTCAAAATTTTGAAAGTCAGAGTTCAAGCATCCTGGAATCCTTGAAGGTAGGAGTGTGAGAGAATTACTTTTAAGTTCAAGACACTTTGAATGCGTCTTTTCTCCTTTAGAAAACCCAATTGAGTCTTGGTCTTATGAATCAATGAATTATATCGGGCCGGTAGCCCGTTTGTTTTGTTTCGCCCTTTGAGTTTACCGGGCTACCATCTAAGAATTATCTTGAAAAGCTTCTCCACCCTGAAGAATATATTAATGATCAATAAAAACTGAAAAAATCAGATGAGACAGACATATAAACATTAATCTTCTGAAATTCAACATGCTAAAAAAAATCTACAATTTTTGCTGATCATATAATTTTCCTTTAAATAAATAATAAATAAAAAGTTAAGTTGTTACCGCCCGATCGAAAAAATTACTATATCAGAACTTTTATCACCAAGAAGAAAAAAGAAATTCAAATCATGGGATGGGGGCAAATGGCAGTGGCGAGCTTTTTTATAATGTTAGTGGAGTCAATTTTAAAACTTTATAAGTATATTGTTAAATGAAAATAAAATCAGCAGGTATATAATATTTCACTACTACGTAAACATCTCTCCTTTAAATAAACAAAAGTACACAACTTGTTCTAAGATGCGCTCTTCAACTATCAATTGTTGCAATTAATGCCCTCCAACTTTCAAAAGCGCTCACATCTGTTGATGAGTTTCAACTTTAATTGTTAAATAAAACACATCCATTGCACGTCTCATTAAAATAATAATAATAATTTAAATATCCTTCATATTATTACGTCTCACATGGTTTATATAGTCTGAAAAAAAGTTTCGGACACTTATATACATTTTCTAACTATGTCAGCGTGTTTTAAAAATTATGAACTCAAATAATGTGCAAGGTAAAAAACATCTACGTATATACAATGACAACTAATATTAGAGATAATTTATTAAAAATGGTTATTAAAGTTATATATATATATATATATATATATGAATATCTCATAATTACAAAAAAAATATTACTATCACACATAAAATTAGACTAGTAGTTGCAACATAACCACCATATGTACCACACGCTAGGTAATTGAACAATCAAAACGCGGGCAAAAGAGTCAGGACACTATTTATTTTGCTCATTGTCAGATCTAATAGGTAGCTGAACCGAAATACACAACTTTATACTATACCAGCACTACCCATCTCTCTCTCTCTGCTTTCCTCAATTCAGAAGCAGAAACTTCAGGAAACAGTTAGATGCAAACCCAATTCATCTCCCCAAACTCCAAAATTCCTCAGAAATGGTAAACAAATTTCGTTTCGTTTCGTTTCGTTTCGTTTCATATCTTTTTTTCCATAATTTTTTAATCAATGATTATGTTTGGTTTGACACTGCTTTGATATGTAATCATATGGTTCTGTTGTAAATCAAATGCTATTATCATATGTTTTTACGTATAGGGTTTACTAATCATCCAATTCTTACATCATACTGTACTTTCATTTATGTTGTGTGATATTTTCGTACTTGGTGCTCTTTCTTTTTCTTTTCTTTTTTTTCGGAAATTTAACTATTTAGTTGATTTTTGAAGGTGTTGAACTATGATCTGATTTGGGTTATTTAATTTATATGTTTGCTGAAGTTTTGACTTAGTATAGAAGTACTTGAAATATGATTAGACTGATTGTGGTTTTACTTGAACCATGTTTGGAAAACCCATCTCGGAAAATGGAAAATAGTCTTCTTGTTCTCTTGAGTTGGCCATTAATTCTATGATATTTATTTGTGCAATGATCATAAGGGATCAAAAGCTTTTAGCTAAAATGTGTTTGAAAGGTTTAGGTCGATGTGTGTGTGTGTGTGTGTGTTGTGTGTAAGTTGATTGTTCATAGTAAGCCAAAGATAGGGTGTAACAATTATTTGAAAAGATTTTATGTAACCAAATTCTCTTAGGTTGTAAATTAGGTTCATTGGGAGATGGTTGCATTGATGTGCTTCGATGTTAAATTATGAGATAAAGCAACTCCGTTGTATGGGATTCCCGAATTGCATCAAACAAGGGAAACAATCTTGTCATTATGGATTTAGATTTAGTAAGAAGATTGGACTGTTGCCAATGTTAACACTCTAGCAGAACACATGGAAAATGGTATACATATGTTGCGTGCTCGAGGACTCCTAAATACTAACAAAGAGTAACAGTATGTCTGTTTATATTTCCAGAAAAGCCTGGAGTTTATAGGTTGGAAGGAAAAGTCTGTATTAATATGTGCTTGCTTCTTGGACCTATCAAAATACTTTTGAATTATTCTTATAGTCCTATGCCAGGTTTTCTTCGATTTCAGAATTAAGCTGATTTAACTTGTTTATAGATAGCTCTTTTGACATTGTGCGTACCAGATTTGTGTTCTGTATTTGGAGGTCAATGAATCATTTTGACATGTCTTTGAGCTCCATGGTATGAGTACTGTGCTGGATTTACTTCTCAATCTCGAGGAGTTAATCTTGGAGCATTTGGGTTGTCGTTGATATCTCAGCCCAATTTGTCAAGTGTTGGATGATACAACGTTTATGATGCCTTCAATCTTTTACTTCTTTCCTCCTTTTCTAGTGACTTGATTGGATACAATTGTTTTTCTGTCAAATGACTTGTTCTTATAAGAAAACATGCACTAGTATCAGATGACTTTTTAACTTTAAGCGTTTTTCAGACAGCTTCAATTGACCAGACAATTGTTGTTTTCAGAGCAGCTATTGAATATTGATTGAATTCTATTGCATTTTTTCGCTCTTATTTCTGATGAACCTCCTGCCAATACACGGGAATGAGCCATAAACTGTGAGATGATATTCTCTTAGAAACCTTTGTAGCATAAGTCACACATTGCTACATGTTAATATTGGGGTTTATTGGACTGGTTGTGACTTCCCCATTGATATTGCTCCTTATGTTTTTTAAACCCACACATTTCTTTTTCCAATTAGAACAGAGTACGGTTCTTTGTCCATATCGGGCACAACACCTTTCTACTGGCTCCACCCTTTGGTTTAAGTGACTATTGACTGTGTTCCACATCATGTCCTGCCATCATTTTTGAGAAAGTTGTTGTCTTTATAAATTGAAGTGTTATGTTAGGTTTAGTAAATAGCAGAATGCCCCATTCACCATGTTCTTTGTGATATTAATGTTTTGTCATTTTGATCTTTTTGTTCCGGTCATCCTTATCTGCAATTAATGATCATCTAGATGTACATCAGGGTACTGCGTTTCTTGCTGGGCTTGCGATAGCTGCTACTGCTCTTGCCGGTAGGTACGGAATCCAGGCTTGGCAAGCATTCAAGGCACGACCGCCAAAGCCTAGAATTCGTAAATTTTATGAAGGTGGTTTCCAGCCTACCATGACAAAGAGGGAAGCAGCTCTTATCCTTGGCGTTAGGTAACAGTGACTTTCTTACTTTGAAAAAGATTATGTAGTGAAGAGTCACCACACTAGCTCATGTGCACGTAGCAATTAATAATCATGAATTAGAACTTCAGCTCTTTGGAGCATTGCTAGGGTGATAACAATTAGGAACTCAAGTACTACAACTTGTCAATAAGAAAGGTCAACAGAACTTTATTTGCTAGAATAAGGGCCAGTGATATTAGGGATTTGTATAATGTTACGCGCATCAAATGTCGGGACCAGGGGACTTCAGTGACATCAAGATTAATGAAAGATTAAAGAGTTTATCAGCTATATTACAACATAATGATTGTGAAAAACTGGCTTTGTTTGGATACGTAAGAGAGAAAAGAAAAGAAATTATAGTATTAGTTATGAGAGAAAGGAAAAGAAAATAAAGGATAAAAATAATCTCTATTTATGTTTGGATAGATACAAAAGAAAAGAAAAGAAATGATAGTATTATTGTTTAGATATGATAGAGGGGAGAAATGAAGAGAAATGATAACAACCAAATTACTATCATATCCTTTTAAATAGAAGGGATATAAATGGAATAATAATTTTCTCTTTTTAATTGTTAAGGGTACTTTCGAAATTATGAAAATACTACTTAAATACTCTGCTTTCTCTCCCTATCTTCTCATATTTGGAGAGATAGGAAATGAGAGATAAGGAAGGATAGATCCCTCCCTATCCTTTCTTTTCTCTCATTTTAAATCACCCAAACACACTAAAGCCCTATCCTTTCTTTTTTTTTCTTTCCCTATTCCTCCAAATCATCCCATCCAAACGCACTCATAGAGTTTATTAGCATCAAATTCGCTTTGAGGCTTGAGAAGAGCTATATGGCACCATAATAATTGTGGCAAAACTTCTTTATGATATGGTGTTATTTCAGGAGAGAGTGACAACGGAAAGTCTAAGACAGGATCAAGCGTCTCACCAAATCAATTTGGTTTATGTTGGGAAGTTTTTACCATGGTGCCTATTTTTCTTACTAAAATGTTTGCTGTCCACCGTATGGATTTTGTTAATAACTTTTAAGTATGTTGATTTCTCCTTTGACAGAGAGAATGCGACTCCGGACAAGGTCAAGGAAGCTCATAGAAGGGTGATGGTCGCAAACCATCCTGATGCCGGTGGTAGCCATTACCTTGCTTCTAAAATCAATGAAGCTAAAGATGTAATGTTAGGGAAGACGAAGAGCGGAGGATCTGCCTTCTGATACCCTTGAAGATCCCTCGATTTTTGGAAGCACCAGCTTCGTCGAAGCACGGTTAGCTGCTAATCAGGCCATTTCCAAAGTTGTCGTTCCCACCTCATTCAAATGATATGGAAATCAAGCTTGTTTGCAGATTAAGTTGAGGTGATGAGGATGGCAGATCAATGTGTTGAACAATTAGTACAATTTTGATTATGTCTTGTAACACTAATGTTACTCGTATCAAGACATATTGGAGTGAAGGCTGTATTAGTAATTGCCTTGATTAAAATCTACATTTTTTTTTTCTTTTTTTGAAAGTTAATTAAAATCTACATTGTCATCAAACAATTATTTATCTTTTTCTACCAGGGGTTTTTTCTTGCTCCATTTAAAAAAAAAAAAAATCTTGTACATATTTTCTAATAGATTTGGAATTTTTTTTTTTTTAAAGATATTATATATATGTCCAATATACAAATATTTAAAAAATATGCATATTCGATGTATCAAGGTCCGCCCAATAATAGAATTACTAATTTTCTAATAGATTTGGATTTTTTTATTTTCTTTTTTTAAAAAAAAAAGGAATAAGAAGAAAAGTGTTTGATGAAATTTGGAGTCGTCATATGGAAGCCTTCCCAACATAGTCTAATCATCACCAACTTAGAGAAAGAAATTTACTTTTGTTTTACCCCGAAATACCACTCTTTATGTTATACTTTATACAATATATTATACAATTTAACTTTATCTTTTGACTGTAATTAAAATAAAATTAAAACGCCAAATAACCTCACTTTAAAACAATTTAATAAAAATTAAAATATGTACACAAAACATGCTACTTAAACAAAATTACAAGGAAGAACAAATCATATAATTATAGGTTATTAGGGTTAGTATATCCTACCTCAAAAATACATCCAAACATTTGATTATCAAAACTTATCCAAATCGGAAATTTCGAATAGTTGTTAAGTAGGATTTGGTCGAATTGAATAATTTTAATTCTTTCGTTTCGAACTAAATCTTACCCCCCTAACTCTAAGAAAGGTGTCTAAGGTCATCTACTATGTAATAAATCGTGCATGCATAAGTAACTCACCATTAAGATATAATTGACCCCAAGTTTGGGGAACAGAGAATCCTAGTTAGGCATCTGTATCTTAGTAAAAACATTCCCAGTTCCTTCTTGAGACAAAAAAGAACCGGCTTCTCCACTTCGAATTAGATTTGGACAGTCCCTCAATTGAGGGACACTCACATCAGCTGGTCAAGTTCCACAACAATTGATCTACCCTCTTTGGAATATAACAGAGTAAGACCTTGCTAATAGTTAAGGGAGGGTTACCACACGCTTTCCATAAGACAAAACACTCTATTAAAACCTTCCAGGCATTTGGGGTGAGTTGTCCGGGTGTAATGGAGAAAATTTTCCTAATAAAAGGAGGAAAAGTAAATGTAACCCAGCAAGAAAGACACACTTAAAGAGACAAAGTTCACCATTTGGAGCCTCGTAAACTCTTTCATGGGGAACGGGAGCCCGGATATAAATACAAGAAAGAATGGAGTACAAAAATCAGAAATTTATCATATTAGAGTCCGAAATTGAAGACTGAACATTGTCTCCCATGTTTACATTAACACAAAGAGAAGAACAGTGGGAGAGAAAGAAAATTTACTTTTAGGATTATGAAGGTAGCATGATGTTCTTCCTTTACGCTCCTTAAATAAGAAGAACATGTGACTTTGAAAAAACAAAAAGAATAATAATGATAAAATAAAATAATGAAGGCATGCATTGAATATTTTTGAAGCATGCCTGCCACGGTCAGTGATTCGATTTTCTGCTCTTAAGGTATCTTCAGCTATCTACTTAATTTGATTCTGAGTTGCCTACTACTTTATTTCCTACCACTTTATTTGATGCTTCTGCTGCTGTACTTAATTGATTTGATGCTGCCTACTGCTTCCTACCACTTTATTTGATACTTCTGCCACTGTTCATAATTGATTTGATACTGCTGAACTGCTTACTATTTTATAGGGGTGGCAATTCGGGTTCGAGTGTCATAACTGTGTCGTGTCGACCTAGGGGTATAATATATCAACTCGAACACGACACGATTAATAATTGTGTCACACATCTTAAACCTGAACACGACATCTTTATTAAACGGGTGACACGACACGACACGTTTAACCCGTTTAATAAACTAGTCATATTAGACACACCAAACACGACCTGTTTAACATGTTTACCCGCTTAACCTATTTAACCTGTTTAAGGTGGCCAAAGATTAAAATACTACCAAATAAAATACTAGCAAACATTACTAGAAAATTTATACTCTAGTTCAAAAGAGAGATTAAAAGCAAAAGATAAGTCATAAGTTATTAATTATTACAGAACCAAATAAAAATGTTTAATAGAAATGCCTGAAACTGAGTCTTGAGGCAATGAGGTCCTGAATTTTAATATTCGGTCACACTAACACTGGTGGAACATTGACCTTCAGCAGGGATATCATTGTTGATATTTAGTTTCATCACATCATCAATCAAGTCATCTATTTAAAGCTTCATTGTATCTATAAAAAAGCATACACAAAAAATTTATTAGTTCACTATTTTTTGCAATAAGAATATGATTTGAAATTTATTACGAGTCATTTACCTTTCAAACCAAAAAGTCAATCCCTCGTGCATACCAAAGCCTCCACATTTTCTAGTTTAAATGCACTACAATATTGATCAAGAATCTGACCACCAACACTAAACGCAGACTCAAAAGCAACTATAGTGATTGGAATGCTCAATATTTCACGAGCCATTTGAGCAAGCACATGAGACATAAACTGATTGGCTTTCCAATAGGTAAGCATATTAAGGTTCGTATTCCTATTGATTTTTGGTTCATCTAAACAGAGTTCCAACCTAAGTCACATAATGCGGGAGTGGGAGAGTGCCAAAGCCCAAAATATTTGAGAGTGGGAGCGTCTGCGTATTATTATTATTATTATTATTATTATTATATATACATATATATTAATTAATTTATTCATTTATTTATGTGCTATTATATAAATTTATACTGTTAAAAGTTTAGCCCATTAGTATAAGTTTGGCCCAATAAACATTATTTCATTAACAAGGTCCAATGAATTATAATTTTCCACAACTCGTCATACAAATAAAACTCCATCCTAGCCATTAGATTTAGATTCATCTCAACTGTTGGTTTCTTTTAACTTTAAGAGATAATAAGAATTAACCTAAAACCAGGGGTGAAGTCCTCTTCAGCAAATCTGCACCATAACATATTTTACCGGCATCACCAGCCCTCAACATGCCAGTCGCACAGCTCGCGCTCTCTTATAGATCTGGTCACTTTATCTCTTTCTTAAATCTTAAGGTCAAGCATTGGAAGGTTTGATTTCTTATTAAAAACTTGGTCTTTGTTTCTTTTTTTTCCTTATTAGAGATGGAGGTCTGATTTCTTGCATCGGTGATGGTTTATAACGTGGTGGTTGTTAAAAGGTGATTCAAATAGAAATAGTAGGACAGTACACATGGGGTCTATTGACTGGGGATCCATTTGAATTCGCGTTTAGAAACATGAGTTCGCGAATTTTCAAATTGAATTCGCAAATTCACAAAAATGAGTTCGCGAATTCCAGCCAAATCTGCTCTCAATTCGGAAATTTGCATGCGGAACATAATTCGCTGACCCTTATTGGCGAATCATATGACTTAGGTTCCAACTCTAATTTTTGGGCATTTCCAAGCAATCTATCACTCTCAAATGAGTCAAATTCCTATATTACAATAATTAAGAAAAACAAATAGAACAATCAATTGCAAAATCAATGAATAGATGTAATGAATAAAATAGGCATTAAAGGAATTTAATATCTCACAAAAGTATTTTCACCTTCATAACATCAATGAACTTTTTAGTTAACTGTCCCTCATCAACTTGCCCGTGTTCACTTCCATCATTTGGTGAAGATGTGGATTTGGTACGTCAGACAAGCCATAGGATAATTCAACAAATATTGATAAAAAGGTAAAATAGTGCATCACGAACTAGTGTGCTCTCAATGTTGTTATCACTATTAAGCTTGTTATAGCTAAAAATAGAAAACCCAAGCTTGTATCTAGGATCTAAAATCACAGCAATAGCAAGGATCATGCTATAATCAGACCAATACTTTACAAACTTTGAATACATTAAGTTGCCATCTTGCTCATAAACTTATTCTTACTATCCATTTCCTCTCACAATGTTAATTGAACCAAAAACACAGATGGAAAATACAAGTTTGCTGTGGGATACTTGGATCCAGAAAAGATGTTTGTAACATCATAAAAAATAGTTAAGAACTTGTAAATCTTTTCTATCATACTTCACTCCTCTTGAGATGGACAAAACTTGTAATTCGAATCACTCAACTACAAATGACAAAAAGCCCGACGATAATAAATGGCAAACTCATGCATAAGATATGTTGCATTCTATCTTATAAGAACATCTTGCCTTAATCCTCTTTTACATTCTAAGGAAACACGAGAGACGCATTCAAAGAATTTTTGTTTCCTCATTTGAGAACCTTTGACACACTTAAGACTCTCATGAATCTTTATGATAGATTCATCAATCTCTTTAACCCCTCTTACACTATTAAATTTATGATATGTGCATAACAACGAATGTGAAAAAACTCTCCACCACTTAATAAAGCATCATTCAAATTGAGTTGAGACTTCAACAATTCAACAAATGAATAGTTTGAAAAAGTATTGTCTAGAGTAATTGAAAATAGTTTTTTTTCAATCCCCCATTGAGCTAGCAATGTATAAATCTTTTCTGTCGAAGCAACACCATTGTGTGGAGATGGCATGTAAGAGAAGTTCAAAATATTTTTTTGTAAGGGCCAATCCACATCAATAAAGTGTACAATAAAAGATAAGTACACATCAGTAGTCAGAGAAGACCATAAATCAGATGTTAAAGAAATCCTACCATTTGTTGATTGCAACATATGTCGAACCCTACCCTTTTTATTTTTATGCATACTTAATATGTTAGCATTGGCTGTGTTCCTACTTTTGGTCTGAACCTCCTCACATAAATAACTATATATAGCTCTAATGCCCTCATATTCAACAAATTGAAAGGGCAAATCATGCATAATGATAGCAGCACTCACTAACTAACAAAATCTATTAAAATCAAATTTAGAAGCACGCATAGATATGGATCCAGATGACTGAGATTAAAGCAACTGGCCTACGTCCAGTGTATCCCTCCTAACACACAAATCTATATGTCGCTTTAAATTACC